CATATGTTGATACTGATTGCATCTAGAGCGCAATTGCGGCACACAGGAATGAGGAGGGCGTTTTTATGTTAACGCATTGCAGAGGACCAGAGGTTAGGATGGTTTGCGGAGGAAGCTACATTCAGAAGTGTTTATTATTCATCTGTTGTCTACGGAACAGCAGCCAATCTCAACGAAACGTCGTCAAGCAAATTGGCTAAATGGAAATTCACCGGAGTAAAGAGAATGACAGTTCAATTTAAACATGTTGTTGGCCAATCAATGCCTGTTACATTCACACTGCACCTGATTCAGCTTTGAATGGATAATTATTCTCCGAGATATCATCCTATGATATTGATACGGGTTAAAGTATTATGCAGTGTTCCTACTGCACAGTACCAACCAGATTGCTCCGATTCTCACTTACAAGCACAAGTCATCAACCAACAAACACGCAAATCCAGTGTAATAGATGCCTAGGCTGTTATCTTTCTGCACTGTTAGTTCAAAAAAGCACTTATTCAATTGATCGCACCAAATACTAATTATCCTCCTCTCCATTCAACCCCACCCCCTCTTCTCCCGCCCTAATCCCACCCACCACCCACCTGATCTCAATTTATTTCACCATCTCACCATCCCACCATCCCATCACCCCTTCACATCCGGACAATCCTCCCACAAACTCAATCTTCGACCTTTACTAGTTTCTCTAACTTGTCAGAAAGCACAGGGCTAAACCTAGCAACAACCACTCTCTTCTATTCAAGTATCTAAATCTCACTCAATTAGCCTACACCACACATATACTTTCCATCATGGCATCCATGTATAAAGATGCCGTGATAGTCCACACATCGCCTTATCAGCCGCCTCCTTCAACACGCCACATGCGCAACTTATCGATTTCCTATAGACTAGTTCATGCTTTAGGATCGGTTACCAAACATAGTAGTGTTGCTAAGCGCAGCTTGGTATCTTACCCCGTAGCTAATGAATCTATGATTCAGCTGTTGTGATTAGTTTATGTATGCACATGTATGCTTAAATCTGCATCTTTATTGCCAATTTCTATCCGTTAGTGGTCTAGGAATCTAAAGTCTAACTCGGATTCTGTCAAGACTTCATCCCACTCACTACTCACCCTCGACAGATGACTTCCACTCAGCTTTTAATTTCAACAATATGCACTACTCTACATGCAAGCAAACACCAATCATTGGGCATTGTAAAAATCAAAGATTCGCAGGTGAGTAAGATTTGGGCAGCAAGCTAATTTCTAGTCTCTACCCCTAGTTGCCCTAGTAAAGTAACATCAAATGTCCATACACACGCCTGATTGGTCCAGATGATATAAATCCCCCCCACTACCCACAGCTCGCTCCCAAAGGGGAGAACGGAGTTCTCTGACTTTCTTTCCCCATTAAAAATCTTGAGACGTGAGCTCGTGAGTTATAAGTAAAGTAAGATTACCCGAATCTGCCCTACAAAGATGTGAAATAGTGTATGAACATGTTTTTCCGAGGTGCTTTCCCATGTTGAATGAGATTTCGATACTGAACATCGTATCTTTAGTGTATTGATTGGGCTGTAGCCATCGGTTCGGGGGTTTGTTCGAGGGGTTTCAGAGACTAGGAGAGCACTAAAGAAAGCAAACGAAGGTGATGGGGTATCAATAGAGGAATACCAGGACTTCGGATCTACACTTCATCTTTGTATTCATGGAACCTACCATCCTTCAACACTAAATCTCCTTACATGATGTTCTCAACTGATTAGGAGTACAAATTCCCTCCCATCATACTCCCAAGTTCCAACCTTCCAACACATTCCGACACCGCCGAAACAATTCCACCAAAAAAACGCCCCCTCCCCCCCTTACGAATCCCACCGTCCTCTTACCCCAAACTGCACCCGCTAACCATGTTGCCGAGGAACCTTCTTCAATCACTTCACTAATAGCACGTATGTTTTAGTACTTTCAAGGTACGGCCTAGTTTCCGTCTTCCGTCTTTTTTCCGCCAGTCGGTCCAAACTAGTTATGGTTAATGATACTGAACGAATCGTGCTATATCGTACTAATTATGAGAGTCATTGAAGAAAAGAGCCCTATATTCATTTTTTGGACATAGCGTTATGCAGAAGGAAGGATCGTGGAAGTTTGGAAGGCAAGCACGTTCAGTATAACAGGAATTGCATGCCGAATTCGATATGTACTGCATTTAAATGCCCTGGTATCAATTCCAGGCATTAGAACACCACAATATTTCTTGATTTTTTAGTTCGAAGTTGACCAATCAAACAGCTCATCAAGCTTTTCTTTCTTGCACATTCCATCGTGTGGCAAGTTTTACTCGATCAAATCCTCAAGTTTGACATAGAAATGTTCATCAAATCATCAAAATGCAATAACTAATTGATCATCTCAAACCTCCTACTCATCCTCGACAATCCGACACAAAAAATTCAGGGTCCTTCCGCCACCTACGCTGAACGTTACATAACCAATGTAGCCAAATCGTCATTTCCACGTGGTATGCCTGTTCAGTCTTGTAAATATTCATGCTGTACCACATAGCTGCCTTGCGCACCTGCGTGAGATATAGACAGAATTGTGTAATGGCGCTGCCGTTCCTCGACTTATTCAAGTGCGTACAAACAAATAAAGTAATAATTCCATCTGATCAAATCCTCTTTGTGTGAAAGGTAACAATAGGCTGTAAATACCGAGATCGGACAAATCAATTCTCAGCCTCAAAAGTTGGACGAGAAGAAGAGGTCGTGTGAACAAAACAAGCTCTCAGCCCCTTCATCCACATTCGCTAATCCGCTTACGATTTTGAGTGTTAGGGAAGCGACGATTAGGAGAATAACGAATAATGCAGTCAGATGGTTATCAAGAACCGCACTCACAAAAAGTAGAAGAACAGATACTAGTGGGGAACTTTCACGACACTCTGATTACATATTCTTGGATCTTGAATGTCCCCTCTATTGACCCATGACCTCCGACGAAGTGTGTATCCGGGGAATACTGTGCATCAAATCCGATGTACGGGCTTATTTTATTTCCCACTCACGAAGATAAACCAGAGAAAGTGCCGCTCTGCACAGATGATAGTAAGAAGCTGATCTTTCTTATGGTTCAACAGTTACAAAGATTTTCAGCAAATGATTTTCCAAACTCTCGCACCTCACCGCTATGTTGATTATTGTTTATCCTCTTGTTGATCCATCCCGTGGTGCTCACTTTGACGGTTTGGTGGTTTGTGCTTTTTTACTACTTCAAGGATCAATCGCAGTTCACAGTCCGTATTTAGTGGAAGTAAGATCACGAAATCTTGGGACAATAATATTGGGAGTACATATGACCGACAATTGTCGGACCACCCACTCCGAAAAATGGCCGATGTTTGTGGTTCGCCTAAGCTTCTCATAATCTCATAATCTCATTCGTGAATCATAATAAATGGACATTCTGGGATACTCTGGTTTGTGCAAGAGGCGATTTCGCTGACAAGTCTCCTTGATGCGGCTGAATCTTTTCGGGGTTGATAATTCGAATGACGAATCACAAGGCTGTGCTGGCGATACGAAGAATTAGACCTGAAAGCACGAGGAAGCGCGACGACTATGTTGTGGCAATACTCGTAAGTGATCTTGTTAATAAGTAAAAGCTTATTGTAGTGAGGTAGGAGGTATCTTGACTTGTTAACTTGTAACCCTGATCCTGTAGGCCAAGGCACCAAGGCAGAGAGAGCAGATCAACATGTTCAACATCATCATCGCTGCACCACTGCTGTCATCATACTGATAATAGCCTTTAATAGGATGGTATAAGGTTTATCACTACTTTATATTGTCTTGAACGGATAGTAGAGCCAGGGGTTGTTTTCAGGGTCCTCTGTATTTAGTAATTTGTTTTAAATCGTCGAGAAGATTTTGCAGGGAAGTATTTCCATGGGATCGGCAACGTGAGAAAGGCGGAACATCATGGGGACACAGAATTTGTTTGATGAGCATTGAGCTTGGATAATGTATGTTCCGAGGTTTGGAAATAATGTTCGAGGAGGGGAGAGGGGTTAACAACTGACAGCGAACCCGAGTCAACTTCTCATATCGTTAGGACTTGAGATCAGTATGGCTTCATTGAGTGTTAAACTTTTGACGCTTTGAAGAGTCGATCTGATTAGAATTTGACATGAAACTTGAACGGAAGGATTGGAGCGCCTCTTCCTACTTCCGAGGAGTCATAAACGCTCGGCATCGGAAACGGTTTCATGATTTGTATACTTAGTTTGTTGATCTGATCTTCCAACGTCTTATTATGCCGCTGTAATTGGAAATGATGATGAGCGGGGAAAATCTCACGATACTTGTGACTTGCAAGTAGGTTGTTGTAGGATAGGATACGTAGGGATTCTTATATCGGTACGTACGGCACTGCCAGTCATGTTCGTTGGACCCGTACCAAATCAAAATCCCGGCGCTTCAAGAGATTAGCGGTCCTGCCTACCTTATTTGTATACCTCCTCTATTACTCGCTACTACTATAAGGGGTAAAAATGGTGGTTGATCTTCTTGAGTTGAGTGCTTAATTGAGTATAGTAATCAAGAAATGCTTGAAAGCCCTTGATGTTTTCGATGCTTAATGCTTGTGGGAGAGAGTGGCTTTGATTGATCCCGTGCGTAATTACATCATGACGACGTGGGTCCCTTTTTGTAAGTTCGGTGTTTCTAAATTTCTTGACCTACCGTTGAAAAAGTGTGTTGTTGTATTGAAACCTTTTGGGAAGATTTGAGATTTTTAGTTCAGGGGTACTCGTACACAAATACACTTTCGTACATTCATGTATAGGATCCCATAGAAAAGAGAGGAGAATCGAAAGCAGGAGAAGGGGTCAAGGTTTTAAATTTGCTGGAAATGCTAGGTATATTATATGACGGACAGCAGTTTTAAGTATGAAATGACAATGATGTTCAAGATAACCTCAGAATGAATAGGATCGTCCTACAAGTTACAAGCCGAGTAGGATTATGGTGTGATTTGTATTGGCAGATCTTAAAGAGGCTATTATCAATATGTTCTTGCAAGATGAAATGTTGATTTTGCAAAACGATTTCGATATCAGTATAAAGTTGCTTGACCATTCATAAATAATTATGACTACTGACTTGACTAAAGTACTTAACTAGGTCTTCACTTACGCCGCCCGCATAAGAATAAGGAAGGAGGAATGGAAAGATATTGTCTGAAATGTCAACAACTAACTTCACTTGAACTAAGTGCATATAAACGTTGTCAGGCTCTCCATAAACCCATAATTCCTTTACGAAGTTCTTCTTGTTTTGTTCTCTGCATTGGGTCTCGCAGCGTCCTACTCTATCCGATCTCTCCATATGTGCGTGTACTCTGTAGTGTAAGTATCATGGATTCATCGTAATGCTGGTGACATAATGGTGCTTCCATAATATCTCTTCCTAGCCTTACGATTATGTGCTAGTATATCCAATATAATACTGAAAATGTTCATTTCTACTTCCCAGCAGTTTAACAAAGTCAAAGTCTGACAGTGACACACCAGTTGACCACGCGTGAACACTGAACTCTTTGACTAATAAAACGTCGAACTCACCGAGACGAGCGAGCAAATTACAATCAAGTACCGAGTGCTCTTCATCCGTGTGTGCTCAAAGTCCACTGGAAAGGAAACAGGACACCCACAATAAAATCCAACCCATGAAGGGATGACCCAATTTAACCTGACCCCCACTCAACTCTTTTAGGAAGACTCCCAAAATTTGCATCGACAAAAAGATTTTTTGAACCCCTTCATCCATGATTCCTTAACCCGACTATCTGGATATCACAATTAAGGAAGCCTTTTGACTCTTGCATACAGGAAGCGGACGACGGCGTTACGGCACGTTGCGTCTACCTAGGAACGTCTAAACGATCCTTCCATTGCATTTTCCTCTTTGCTTTGCATGATGGGGTGGATACTTAGACATGTACACTATTTTATATTCAAGTATGATCATTGGTGACACTCCGTAGGTGGAAAAGTTGTTCCTTGAGTAACACGCACGTTCTGAACACATCAACATTTCCCTCAATACACTTCATTTACATCGCTGTGGTTTCAAATCACTTCGTAATAATGGAAATGCTGTAGTGTCACTCACAACCGCCAACCATGATGACTTAATAATCTGATCAATAACACCTACCGACTGCGCCGTATTTGTGCTACGTCTCTCTACTCCACCTAAAATTTGCTCCTTTTGATTGAACAATAGATAGGGTTTCTAAGTCACAACCAACGATTCAATATTCCCTTCAATACACACGCACACACTCTCTCCTTCCCTCCCTCTCTCTCTCTCTCTCTCTCTCTCTCTCTGTTTTCAAAAAGTAAGGTTCTGACCGTTGTGTTAAGAGGTCCGGGATCATTCTCGGTCAGGGGTGGATCAAGCATAATTTGTTGTGGCATAATTGGCACTTCGGAATCTACCAGAGAAGTATAGCGTCACATAATCACAGGTGTTAAGATCTGCAGCGACGTATCCTAGTGCTTGACGGCTTTATCAGGGTCCACTACAACTTGCAAAAAGAGAGCATGGGAGCCAAGCTAGGGAGAGACACCGGGCATGGCAAGTGGAAAAAAGCTAGGAGGGGGAGAAAAAGTAGAGAAGGATGCTGCCCGCCGCCCTCTCGGTTTAAGCACTTTTTTTACTTCTTTCTATTGAATATGTGAATACGTGAACATATGAATAAGACGAATGAATAAATTGTATGATACAGATACATGTGAATTTAATGTATATAGCATCAATACTCTCCGTATTCAATGTTCAAGGTTCAATAGTCAGCAGAGGTCACTGAAAATAAGAATCTAATTCATCATCGAAGGAACTCTACGTCGCAGGATGATTAAGAATATGAATCTTTCCCATGTTGTCTATCCATCTTCTCAATATGGAAAGTGTAGGGATATACTTGAGTACGTACCATACTGAAGTAATAAGAGTTATGAGAGTGATATAGTCGGGGTTACTCGACGCTACCCCTTCATTACAACCTCACTTGAATTAGCTTTGTGCACACTACACAAGTACATCTAAACTTTGTGTTATTCAAGTTGCATATATCATCATCTACTGATTCGAGTCATTCCATCATGTCGTAACAGTAAGTAGTTCCAAGTACCGGTACATATCTAATATCGACTACATACCTCCCATATGAAACGAAGAAGAGATCATCTAGATACCCAAAAAGCTCATCACGCACCGTTTGATATTCATCTAATTGCTTTGCTGATTTTCCCATATCTACCTGAACCCTTCCCTTCAGTCTGTCCGTAGAAATAGTCCATGTTATCCAACCATATTGTGATGTGAATAAATGAAAATTGTTCATTTCCGGATTGATACACCTCCTCTCGAAGTTGTATCCTCTTTAGTCTTAGTTTTCCACATTTATCTCATCCTCCATCGTACATTTATTTCCCTGAACCAAGTTAGTGATAGTAAAAGGATACCGATACTCTTTTACTACACTGGGCTGGCAAATCTTTTGGTGTCACGGCGGATTTTTCGAATGGATACACTACACAACACTAAAAGTAACCCCAATATACTCGAACCTTCCCAACCATAACCTACCACACATTACACCACACACCTTTTCCCACTGTTTTCCACCAAAAAATCTCTCTTTCGGAAGAAAAAAAAGAGAGAGAAAGAGAAGAAAGATTCCTTTTTACAAAACATTAAAAAGAAGAAGAGATTCGATGCAAATTATTTTTGCTCGTAGCTCTTCTGAGCTTTCATCCTAAAAGAAAAGAAGAAGAAGGAAAAAAACAATCAAACTCCTATCAAAAAGTTTCAATTTTATTCGATTTCCCTTCTACAGCAAAAGATACCCCATTATTATATTTTTGTACTACTACTACTGCTACTACTACTACTACCACCACCATCACCATCTCTTCGAATCCAATCACGAACATTCTCTCTGAGCCAATACCCATCGCTTTCCCTTTGGCAACATCACCCCATTACCATACAATACCACATCAGGTCTGCCAGTAAGACATCCAACTCGGTTTAAGAAGTTGTTGGCAAGAAGCTTGACGTTCTGTTTAAAGCTGTACATTTCAGCCTAGTCGAGCATCCAGCTCACACCTCACGACTCCCTTTGATCATGGCTTCACCAACTGAAGCAACGGTTCCCGCCATCCCACCAACATCTTCCTTGGAACCCAGTACCGCCAATCCATCACTGGCTGATTCTCCATTAACAAACGATTCATCAAGCACATCTTCGTCAGATGCAAATGGAGGAAGCACGCCAGCAAACACCTCTGCCAGTCGTACACCCTCAATCAAGAGGCCAAAGCTTGGTACTAGAAAGTCTAGCGGTACTATAATAGTACCGCGCGAACACCCGCGCGTGGAATTAAAAGAAGGGGACGAGGTCTTCGACGAGGATGATGCAAGAGCAATGAGTCCAAGGAGGAACAGTGAGGATTTGGAGAAGATGAGTCAAGATGCCAGAGCGCAACTCAACGAGTATGTTATCCTCCCTTCTCACCCATGAATATTACAGTCTATACGAAATATCAAACAATACTAACTCGGTACTTCCCATAAAGGCACGCTAAACTTCTTCAACAATCTCTCCTCGAAATATTTAATCGAATCGAAGCTGTCAAAGAGGAGCACGATAAACTCGACAACAACAACAAATTCTTACAGAAGTACATCGGAGACTTAATGTCCACGTCTAAGATTACATCTACTGGTGCTGGGGGCAGAAAGAAATAGCCACTAGCCGTGGAGACCAAGGAAATAGAGGAGGTATGTCGAAAACGGAAGGCATCGCGGCATCAAGACTGGTCAAGTCGAAAGAAGAATAAACATACCAAAGAGGACCGAGAGGTATGACATGATGCGCGGGACCAGGAAAAAGGCGACCCAAATATTGATACCCCTCAAACACACACACGATCACACACATCCCGCTTTCATTAACGACTCATGATTTTTCTCCATAATGATCATTGCAAAGAGCTTGCAAAGAGATCAAAAGAAAGATCACTTCCACCATACTACTTTACGACATTATCCACTCATTTCCTGGTCTCCACACAAACTTATACGTCCCATCTTACACAACACAGCTGGCTGTACATCAACACCGGCATCAAATATCTGCTGCAACGACGACGACCAAGCGACTCAGGGGACGAAGATGAGGAGGCATTACAACGGCGTATTTTTCGGCTTGGGTTTTCTGGTTCAATCTAATTCATCGAACATCCTGGGAGCTTTATCTCAGAACCTCCTTTTTTGATTACTCGGTTTGGGCACTTGTTTTCGTTTTTGGCAATGGGGGGTAGGCTCCATCATGGCATTATTGGCATGGCTTGGCATTTGTGATTTTTCTTTTTGGCTTCTATGATGACATTGCATTTGGAACTGGCTTTGGCATCACTTTCATCATTTATCATCATCAGCGACCGGCGTTTAATTTCTTTTTTGAATTCAAATTCTTTCGTTCCTCATTTGGTATCCTCAATTCGACGAACACATACAAATCACACAAACTTTTCACGGGAGAGCAAAATCAGCAATGCTTATCTCTGGTTCTGTGGACAAAGTCGCTATACAACACGATACCACACCATACCCTCGGAGTAAACATTAGACTGGAATGCATAGGATGGAACGATTGAAACCCGGAGAAGTGGCGAGGGAGGTAAAAGAAACAGAGCTGATTCGAAGAACATTCATATTGTTATTCATGAGTGATCAGTGGGGATAGGGGGTGCAATCATGTTTTGGGGAGTAACTGGAATGGATGGGGTACAGGAAAGGGTTTTGGAAAGTGATTGCTTGAGGAGGAGCAGAGAGGGAAGAGAAAGTGTGTATTATAGATGCAGTATAATACAACACAACAATACAAATTTATGGTTTAATGCAATTGTGGACTGTAGAATGTAAGTTGTGATGTTGGGTCTGAGTTCGAAGTGAGATGAGTATCAGCCGGGCTGCATTGTTTCTGAAATGAGTAGAGTATGATATATGATATTGAGATAGCTATTATCTTGATACGTGCCAGATGAAGATACTCCTTCAAAATATGAACCCACCAATCACCCTTCACGGAACGAAGTGTCCGCACACACGCCCGTCTGATTAGATTTGATTTCTTTTAGCCAACGAGATGAGCCAGCCTACGGCGAAGTGAAATGAAAGTCTTCATATATCATGTACACATATATAAGCACGATTCCTCATCCTGATCTCTTCATTTTCGACACAAATAAGAGATTAGATAGGTTGTGATAAGACGGGTAAGATATAATTATGAATACTCACTTGATATCATGCACACGTACACACACACACACACACACACATTATACACATTATACACATATATAATGTGTGCTTGAAGCTGTGACCGAGATATTCGAAGGAGACGTGATCTTTCTTGGTCCACCATATCCTATCCTATTACATCCCAACTTCTGTCAAATCTTCCCAGACACCTTTGCTTCCTTCTTTTCATCACGCTCAAAACCGACTGCCGTCCAAAGTCAATTCTCAACTTTATCCCCTTCAGAATACTCAATTTCTCCACCTCCTTCTAATCTCCAATCTCCAATCTATTCCTCACACCCACTTCCCCTTCTTAAACTAATCCTTTCCCTCTTTCTGCAATCTCCTCCTTACATGTCCTTTTCCATGTCCAATTCGTATACAATTTCCTCACGCCATATTTCTTCTATCCTTCATTTAGCGAGTACACATAGTCTCACCTCTCTCAATAAGTTTCTCATATGGGGTATACACATCCTCATCTGGTGCCATTTTTCTTCATGACACAAAACAAGTCACACATGCCCTCACTTTTATCCTCATAGTACAATATAGCATAATAATCACATGTCACACCAAAAGCTTTTCAATACTTTTGAAAATTTATTGATTATTGCCGGGTATACTGCCATTCCTACCTTCCCTCAACTAATCGAATCAACTGAATAAAACAAGTTCGAGTTTTCCACTGAAAAGATAATAACAAACAGACAAAGACAACAACAACGATTTTAACAATGATAACAATAATTGCATGACAAGAAATCAACGCATTGGAACCTCACACCATGATTGATAAAAAACGAATGCCAATCAATACTTAATCCACCACTGCCCAAGTATCCTCCATCAAACATGATATAAACTCGAACCTTGGGCTACACATCATGCCCCGCATCCTCTCCATGCCTTTTTTTTCTCCTTAAGCATTATCAACGGTGCTGAAGACTCTTCTTTCAACATCCTTTCCCCTCCCATTACCACTGGCATTCGATTGCCTCGAGACCTTTCTCAACGAGGGAGAGGATCTTGGCTCGTCCTCATCATCAATAGCCTTTGAGGACGCAGGAGTAACGTTCCTTTGTCTTTTAGTGCCAATTGCATTGGTGGATGTAAAAAGATTTGAAGTTCTTTTAGTTGAACCATCACTTGTAGTTCGCTGACTGTTAGTGCCAGTGATTTCCAATGGGAGTGCCGGACTTCGATTTTCATTCTCCTTATTGGCGCAACTCAGCGAAGAAGAGCTTAATCTGCTGGATTCACGAAGTCGAGCCTCTTCAATTTGAGATACTAGTCCTTCGGATGCATCCAGTGCACCGATTGCGCGTGGTATTGGTACACGATCTACAGGGCCGACTCTGCTAGATCCTCTTTGCAAAGACGACTGTCGAAGTGAAATTATGTTTGCCGACGTCATTTCAGATCCATTCTGTGGTGTGTTAACAGGTACAGGTGGTAATAATGCTTCACAGAGGGATTCATATGCGCCCATACTCTGCATGTCATTGTTTCGAGATGCCTTCTCAATTATCATAGGATCTGATACGTTTCGAATACTACCTGCCTGTCCACTAGAATCGCTTAAAAGATCTGGCATAGAAGTATCGGTTGAGACTCCTTGACGACGCCAGCCTGCAAAGACAGGACGTGTTGGGTTAGAAATGAATGGGTCGAAATTTGGAGGTTTTGAGAATGGTGCCGATGGTGGTGGCATAGAGTTGGACTGCGAAGACAAGAAACCAATGTTTTGTGACTTTCGTGGAGAATGGGCATGAGCCTCTTGATCCTCTTCAACTCGTTTCGGTGATGGATGTTGATTATACAGAGGCGCAACAAGAGACACCTGGCGCCACATGGCTGCATTTGGCCATGCGATCGAAGAGGCTTCCAAAACGTCTAAGAGTTGTTAGGTTGATAACCTGTCATGATGGAAATGACAATTGATAGATATACCTAATGGAGCATGCTGAAACGAGAAAGCTACTAAGTTCTTGATACGCTCGAAAGGCATAGAAATATTATCTCTTGGAATACCTTCCGACACCACTACCTTTACACGTCCAAGGTCGTCTCCCGGGTTCCAATAACTTTGCGATAGAAGTTCTCGGTGGAAGGCAGGGAACTCGAGTTTTTTGTAATCTCCCTGTTTATCAAGCTCTGTGGGTTGTTAGATGATGCTGGCTCTCGGTCATTTAAGCACATAGTTATGCTTATACTCGATGCAGGTGAAAAAGAGGTATGATTTTATTACCAACACTAGTTTCGAGAACTGTTGGCCAGGGGCCGTTTCGATGAAAGAGTTTGGTACTTAAGACTAGTCAATACATCTACTTGCCTGCGACGAATGGTTGAGGCCTACCCAGCAATCTGTCCATCCACAAATACACGAGCTTCAAACATAACATGTTCCGCATATCTACCGCTAATATGTTGTACATAACGGCTGGCTTCTGGATTTTGCCAAGAATGGATGGAAATTCGGAAGGGCTCTCCAGCAGCTAAGCTTGGAATGAAACAAGTAACCGTAGGGAGTAGTAGAGCAGTGCTCTGCGAGTAATGGACCTCTGCGATCGCGTCAGTTTAGAAGACATTGCCCTCCAGTTTGGAAGCAAGCACTTACCGTGGTCTTGAACAACTTGACAGGAAGTTTTGAACTCTTGCAATGGGATCTTGCATAATTCATGTGGAAACATGAGAACATCCCAATTCTGATAACGCATTTTGAATGGCTTTTAATCACTAAGAATCAAATATAAGCTGATAGGTTATGGCATAACCACAAGCAAGTATTGAAGCAAATCTTGAAAGAAAGAGAAAGAAAGGCAGCAGTGATAAGTTCTTAGATCTGAGGATAGAGCAAAAATCATGCAAGCTTTATCCAGGTAAGAGATTTGGCTAGAGTAATGATGATTTGGTAAGAACATCGCGTTTGTTTGATTGGGGAGGAAGGAACGACCTGAATACTGGTGATTCTTATTCGCCTGTTTGACACGGCCACCAGATTTCATCAAGCTGGATACAACATCCCACGCCCTTACCTGAGAGGAAAATTTACTACGCTATCTCAATATTCTTTAGGAAAAGCACTATTTGCCAAGATCGTAACTTTCATAGGGAAAGGCTTGGAGTTGGTGAAGGGTCGAAAACATATAGTGCTTCACAATGAATTTTCCTCAGAACTTGCTCAAATTGATATCCATATGTACATAACTGCCTTCCTTCACAATGGATCCCCAGCAGCTCTGGCCTGTTTTTCGCGTCAGTAAAAAGCAACTTGTGGGAATCGCAAATATCGTAACTTACCCTGACTGCAGTTGGGCCACCCAATTCCCTCTCAAGTCCACCCTCAAATTCTCGTGGAGCTGATTGCTTATCTGGGTACATCATGCCCACGACTGTGCAAAGTCCCAATACAGATAAAATAAAAAGGCCAAATTGAA